TTTTCAGTCGAGATCGACTAAGGCAGCTTTACTACGGGCCTTTGTGGCAAAGGATTGCTAACAACTAGACTGTGCGTATATGCTTCAGAGATACCCTGTATATGCACCTTTTCGTACCTTCATGTTAATCTAGAATCAGAATGTGGTTAGTCCCGTATATTTTCCTCCTGGGCATAACCACAGGCGAAGATGTTCGTTTTGATTGCCATCCGGAACCAGATGCTAGCAAGGAGGTATGTGAAAGGAGAAATTGTATATGGAAGGAAGACACAATTACGGTACGCATCTCGTTTTTGGAGTGCATCCAAGGTAACAAACGCTCCTTTATGCAGGAAGGTATACCGTACTGCTTTATGAAACCCAAAATAGGTTACAAGCTTCTGCGCAGGATAGGTGATGTGAGTTGGAATTCATTTCCATTTTTCGTTAGCTCCCAAATCCAGGCGAGAACTCTTACCAAGAGCAGCGGACCAATGAATCCGTGGGGCGAAGACATCAAGGAGATATACTTTGCTTCACATTACTTTGGGAAAACCCTCAACGTCAAAATTTTTGTTGGTGGAAGGTAACGTCCACAACTTACTGGTGTTCGTCAGTTCGTACTACTGCAATTCAGATACGAACCACCACTTGATTTACCACGTGAGCCATCCAAGTCAATTGAAGATTTAGAGGTACCGAGCGCTCTACAACCTCTGCAACAGATAATCCAGGACATTAATTTATTTCAGCTTACCACATACGACGAGGAAAACCCATTTTACTTCACGGTCTCTCGTGAATCCACTCAAACGAAATTGTGGGATACTTCATTAGGAAAGTGACATTGTCTCATACACTTTGAGAATTTTCAGATAGTATGAGTCAAGCTCACATATTCTTAGGAAACGTCAGCATGATCTTCCTTCGACTGCCTTTTTAGCTTCATTTTCTATGAGTCTCGTGATAGGCAACCCAGATCACTATATATAAGAGATTCATCGTACGCAAATACAATACGCCGCTGCGGATGCTGTCAGTGTTTTTTACATCAGATCATACGCCCAAACATGCACTATTTTG